AAATATATTATTAATACGAATATAAATRTTTTATGTTGAGCGCGAAAGAACACGTGTGGTCTCGCCCGATGATCAAAAGGAATAGGACGAATTAGAGAAGCTAATATGAGGTGATCAATATTGTAACTGGACTAAATATTTTAGTTAGCTGAATACAGTGTTACCAGATGAAAGTAGTTAAGTAGTTACAATATTAGAAATAGTTTAWARGTTGATCTATTATAATTTGGAGAGACGCTAATCGCTACAAATACATAAGAAATGTTCCCGGGACCTCGCATGCAATCACCAACCATATAGAGTAAAGTCACCCGGATGTTCGGAAATCCTGCTAATAGTTATATGGGTGCTAGGTCAAGATTTCGCCCAATTTTATCTGTTGTAGACACGAAATTACGTAGATATCAGTAAAATCCGCTCTCATCTTTTCCTTTATATAATTAAAAATTTTGGCCGATATATGATACCCGGAAGTTCGAAAATATTTATATTAAGTACATGGGGGCCCGATAAGTATTTTTGATACAAAGAGTTAAGTACTATTGTCAGGAAAGGATTCTCTCAGAATTTGTATATCTTACACACAGATCCATATTTTCGGTCAAAAGTCACATATTCGAAACCTAGTGGCTTTAACAGTTTTGATTGGCTTTGGTCAATTTTAAGGTGGCATACTTTAAAGGATTTATTAATGCAAATTTTTATTTAAAATKGTGTTACATGAGAAGAAGGCGTGGTTGCCTGATTTCGCCCATTTTCGCACTGTGATATAGGAATATGAGAAGAATGCTTCGCCCTACCAAGTTCCATCAAGAAATATCAATTTTTAATTAAATTACCGCTTGAACGGAAGTACGGACAGATAGACAGTTATTCGGAKTTCAACTCGCCTCGACATGCTGATCATATAGGTATCGTCATTACTATTAGTTTTAGRTAGTACGTAACACCGTTAGAAACTATTATAACTCTGTAACATGTTGCAAAAATGTAATATATAATAACTTATTGCACAAATTAACCTTTCTGTAACTTTTCTATTCGCAGGCCAAAATGGTTTCCTCTACGCAAACACTCACAGAACAAGAACGAGAAGTCACCAGTGGAAAAAACACTCACAAAGAAATCCTCAGAGAAGAGCTTAAGGGTAAGTAAACAATTATAAGTATTATACGAAATAATGAGTTTGAGGCTTTTTTATACTATAGCTCTTTAATTAAGTCAATTAGAAAGTTATCTTCATTTAATTCACTATTTATTGCAGTCACTATGACTTTCTGTGGCTTTTTTGGAATATAAATATTGGTATTAAAACAGATAGCAAATKTTCAAGCAATTCAATTCAATTAACTAAATTAGTATTCACTTTGCTGTAGAATTTTTGAAAACCGAACTAAACGCCGTAGAATTTATAAAATAAGTTATAAAAAGAGATTAATATTGTTTCAGATAAAAGCTTAATTTAGTCAATTATAAATGAATTTATTTAACTTTTGTCAATTTTTGCACCATCTCTACACAAAATTGAGCAAGTTAGTCTTATTATGGAATATTACTCGTACCCGTAAAATGCTAAAAAAATTTTAGATAATACCTTAATTGAGCCAATTAGCAAATTACGCTAACGGTAAAATCACCATATTTTCAACTTGAAATGGGAATTTTAATTTATTACTTAATCCGAGAAAGAAATATAGGTGTAGTCGTATATAAAATATGCTTTCCTTGATTATTCATATTACGGAGGTCATTTAATGCAACATAGCAAAGACAAAAGTAATAAACGCAGTGTCATTGCCTCCATAGCGTCTTTGTTTACGTCCAAACTTAATCTAATTCATTTCTTTGTTTTCTAAATACTTTCTCTCTTACTTAGTTGACACAAAAACAAAGCGAACAGGATGAAAAGAACCTTTCAAGTTCAGCCACAGCAAGCAGTCGAAGTCATTATGGCACATCAGCGGCGACATCACAGGCCAATGCCGCACAAGTAGCCGAGTACGAGGCWGAGGAAGAAGCTGGCCTCGAGCTGCCGCCGCCGATGAAACCGCTGCAGGAGCCGCACTTAATGGCCAACGGCCCGCCTGTGTTTGCCAAGGATCTCAAAGAGAACTCCAAAAACTTGGTAAGTCAACATACAAATAAACTTTAGCGTGAAYTCTTCGAAAGAATATGATTTAACATCAATGATAGTATAAGCGGCGTTGTACGCCACCATTTTTGATTAGCCGTAAACTCTTAATGTGTTATCCTGGCGTATTGCATTACTCATGGCGCCTAGACGGCACATTYGATGATTGAGGTTTGAGTTTTAGCGAGGCAACTGCTGCTAACAAACATCACGCGCTCTCTTTGTAGTTAARATTTTTTTTTATGTATATGTAATTATTTTCAAAGATACGCTTTGTCATTTATGRTGCGAAAATGTAATTATTACAAGAGTCGCTTTACCTTGAGGCCTCGCACATTCTTCAATATTTCGTCGAAGCCCTATTGAAATGCGTTTTCTCAAATTGAAGTAGTTTATATTTTTTGATGATATATGATAGGATGTTACTCATACGCCATATTGTACCCATTTTTGTTTACTGTTTTTTGTAATTTCCCTGAAGGCAAGAGGGAGCTTTTTTGATTATTTATTGGTTTTTAGAAATTTTTGCGACTCTGTACGGATAAGATAAGTTAATTGAATTTGCGCCAAATATTCCTTTCCTTTATTTCCTTTTAATAGCACCGTATAGCTTTTAGCTCTATCTACTCATTCTTTATGCGAGGATAGCTTCTCTACCATTGAAATTGAAGTTACAGGGTRCTCATAGCCGTGATCTTTGTTTTGTCTCGGTAATGTTTTTACCCAAAAATGTTTATTGAGTAGCTTGTAAAAATTTCTCAGTGTTTATTCCTCACAATCGCATTCGTTTCACCAAAACCATCGATGGTTTGCTTTGCATATTGTCTTTAATGTTTTCTGAGCWTCACTGATTTTATTACTACTATCCGCAAGTTGTTGCGTGTTTAATGATAATAAAGCTTCCCCGATTGTTCCATAATGGTGTGAGCATTTCGCACTCGTAAACTAAAGCCGTCATGTAAATTTTAGTATTTGTAGTAAACAAAGAAATTGCTCCCACTTAAAAACTAATAAAAGAGGGCATTAAATAAATTGAGCCTTACACAATTTCATATTTGCTTAGGGTGACCCAATTGACTAACGCCTTTGATGCCAATATTTATTTTCTTTTTTTTATGATAGATTTTATTGCAGCAAATGTAAATACCGTTTGGAAAAAAATAATAAAATTATAACTTGAGTAATAAGTTAAATATTGTAAGATCGGTAATTACACTATATTATATGACATCGATAACATTTTCCAATACAAGTAGTTAGAACCATTTATCAGCCTCTGATTTTGCAAGAAATTTATTTAGTTGATACATTTTTAACTATATTTGCCAATTCTAGTTATTATAAATTCTCATTATCAAAACTATTGTCTCTGAATTATATTCAATCTTCTTTGGTAGCCACAAATTGAAGTTCGAACTATTACATGTTTCCATTTAAAATAATATGATTTTGTGGTTTTTATTATGACTTCATAATATCAAAGCTATTGAAGCATCTATTGTCCATAACTAATATTCAATCTTCATGGGTGTTCTCAATTCGTAGTTCGAATAATGTTTAAAAAATCAAAGCTCTAATGAATTTTGCTTAAAAAAGATATATTGAATGCCTTGAAAGAAGCATACATTCGATGTTTCTTCGTTTGTTATTAGAATGCTAGAAATAACTCAATAATTGTCGTTGAATAATCGTACCTTAACTCTTCAATTATTTCTTTGTAATTACGTCTATGTCGTCTGCATACCATATAGCACCTGTTAATGCAAATATTTTTAGCGTCGCAACTTATTTCCGCTAAAGTTTTTTTTTTTTTTTTTTTTTTTTTTTTTTTTTTTTTTTTTTTTTTTTTTTTTTTTTTTTTTTTTTTTTTTTTTTTTTTTTTTCATTCAGAATTATCTTATGGTTCATCGCCTTTCTGCTAGGTGCTCTACTTTAAGTGGCTACAACAAGTGTCAGTCGTTCATCGTATATTTAGCGCCAATTAAGCGTCTAATTAACTAGTCAAACCTATATTCAAGACTTTTTGTTTGTTTACTTTTTAATTTAAGTGTGTATGTTTTTATATTTTTTTTTTTAAAAAAATTCTATACGCTATCATGTCGTAGGCGTTTTGGCACATACCGCACCTTCATGCACATACATAAATATAAATATGTGCATATGTATATATGTACATATATTTMCAGTTATATTGCCTTGTTTGTGTAAATTTAGACCTCGCGGCCGAATTAACCGCTAATATTTGCTCTTGAATTTATGCATAATTTTTTACAGAAATACTCACTAATACATATAAATATATATATATATGTTAACAAGAATTTTTTGGTAAAAGGTCATCGAATATTAGTATCTAAATATYTATCACATTTTTCGCACGGCCGCATGTCATAATGCAAACAAACCTTCCCTTTTAGATCTGAATCAGCTTCGAAACTTGCACTGAAGGTGCAAACCGTCAACCAAAGGATCGGAATCCATCCATATATATATATATATGATCGTCACATTAGGCATAAGGTTTATTAGAGTAACGAAAATAATTATTCCTAATTTTTACTAAGTAATTTACGTACCAAGTTTCTTCACGATATCTCAATTTTTACTCAAGGTATTGAAAGGACGGACGGACAGACAGTCACTCGGATTTACATTCTTCTTATCATCCTTATGATTTATATATATGTTAGTTTTAGGTGTTACATACAACCGTTAGATGAGCAAAACTATTATACTCTAGAGCAGCATGTTGTAAGGGTATAAAAAGAAATTTGTTGAGAAACACCAAATTTCATATTCGAAATATTAAAGTCCAAATTTCATATTCGAAATATTAAGTCATGCGGAATTGAAAATAAACACTCTTAGACGCATTAGGGCATATCAGATATATTAATGTGCTACACTTATAGACTCTTAAGCTAATAACAAGGAAGAGAGGCGGCCAGTCAAAACATTGTTTATACCCAACAATAACAACAAAGAAGCAGCGAAAACACCCGCAGCTACTAAATCTTGTTGAGCTCTTGATTAGTGAAAAGCATCAAGCTTATACAAACGGGCAGGTAGAAACGTATACAAATACAGTTACGAGCAAAGAAACAGAATTAACCATAGTACTAATTTTCCGTTCTAAAAAATAAGAATTATTTTTTCGGTTTAACAAGTGCAATATTTTCTTTAACGATTTTCCACAAATTTTCGATTGGATTCAGATTGTCAGCAAATTCCGCATATGAGAATATGACTTCATCTAAGACTTTAACGTACATACATATATTTGGGGGTTCATGTTTTTTTCATTCAAAAATTCATTTTTTATACTCTTGCAACCGAGTATAATACGAACCAAATACGATTGCATCTATGCCGTTTGCTCAGCATTGGCACCAGTACAATTTTTTGGACCTATTCAATATTTTTGCAATTTCGTTTTGCGTGTGAACCCTTTCCTTGCAAATTCTTCTTCTGAGCAATGTTTGGCTTGACCCATTGTTCAACATAAATAGATAATTAATACAAATATTCATTCCACAGATCTAATTATACTAAYACAACTAATTACCACGCTTTTTAATTTCAATATTTTGTGTTTACAAAGTTAATTCTATTATTTTCATTTATGACGAGCACACTTTTATACTTTTCAAAATTCTAGTTAACTCGACAGTGTTATAATTTCCTGTTTTTTTTAAATACATATGGTTGTACTATTACATTACTGTTTAAAAACAAAACCTTTGATTCTAGTTTATTGTACGTAAATGTATAT